CATGCAGCAATTAGAACCAGCCTACATCAACACTCTGGAGAACTTCATCAGTGCTGCACCATCGAGGCTTGGCTTTCTGATGGTAGTGATGGGAGTTTCAGGTTTAATGAGGTGCTGTGTGCCTGTGCCAAGTGGACCTTCAGCTCAGGCTCAGTCCAATGGTTCCTGCTCTCCATTTGATCATGGCTGGAAACAATCATTGGCCCAGTGTGCAGAGAGTGATCACTCTCTGAACAGAAAACAGGCCCGTGTGGTAAAAGCTAGGCTCAGATCAAGCGGTCCTAGCTTGAGAGATCTGGTTGAAGTGTCAGATTTGTGTAGTATACATGTCTGAAAAGGCAATCAGCAGTTCTGACAAGACTGCAAAAAGCCAAATGAACAGTATGTGCTCAGGTATGAATGGAGTGGAAAAACAAAAACTCACTAGTATCATAACTGGAGGGTGAGCTGTGGGAGAGTAAAACAGCAGGTGGCAGATGTGCTGTAGATACCGCACGAACACACGCACATGCCAAAACACTAACTGAGTGGGAGTTAGTAATCTTATGGAGTGTATCATCCTCCAACTCTCCCCAGGGTGTGATATCTTAATCATTAGATATCTATTGATCATTTGTCACCACTTTGCTCGTGTAGTGCATCTGCTGAACATTTGCTACAGTATTTACTTCACCACTGGGAGCAGAGTTGGCAACTTAGCAACACATAATGAGCAAGGAAGTGACGCCAGGCTATGAAATATCTATAGTCTGTCTATAAGGCTGTTCATTGCTGCCATAATGAGTACAGAGGCTTGTTTGTTTATAGGCTACTATTCTCTATACTATTCTCTATACTATTCTATGTGTGTCTACATGTGTGTGCTCAAGTGCGAGTTTGTCTTTGGACTTAAAATAGGGGTGAAGTGCCCACTGTGCCAACAGTAATTCCATCTCCAAGCTGATCACAGCTCAGCAAGACACTGTAAATCCACAACTCCACAGGTATGAGTGAGTGTACAAGTTTTTGCTTTTTTGTCTGGAAAAAAACAGCGCTGCAGTGAATACTGCCTTTAGGTTTTCCTGCTGTTTCCTACAATTTCAGTATATTGTGTGCATACAGTATATATTGGATTGCATTATATCATGAGTTACAATATATACTGTCCCTCACCCCCATAAGTTGGCCAGAGGTGGAAAGTAACAAGTGCATTTATTCAAGTACTGTACTTAAGTACAGTTTTGAGGTGTCTGTACTTTGAGCATTTTCATTTTCTGCTACTTTATATATTTGACTTCATTATATTTTAGAGGTAAATATTGTACTTTTTACTCCACTAAATGTATCTGATAACTTCAGTTACTAGTTACCTTTCAGAATCAGATTAATAAAACAAATATAATCCTAAAACTTTACTGATTCAGTGGAAAATTTTACAAGCTACCCAGCAGTATGTCAAATTCTTAGATAGTTATAATTAGCTCCACTGCAGCTGCAACATTAAATGTCATGAACACAATAATAATAATAATCCAACAATATGATATACATTACAATGAAATGTGCAATTGTGCATAATGAGCATTATTACTTTGGCTATATTACATATATTTTGATGCTAATACTCTTATATTTTCATTTAAGTAACATTTTGAATGTAGTACTTTTACTTGTAATAGTATTTTTACACTATGGTATTGCTACTTTCACTTAAGTAAACAATCTCAATACTTCTTCCACCACTGGAGTTGACTCATCACTGTCTCAATTTCTACAACGCTATAACATTATAAGCTCCATTAAGATAGAGTATGTTGAAAGGCTATTTAATCAGACTGCATTACATCATCAGGTGGTATCAGGTAGTGATGGAAAGATGAAGTCTCGAAGCTTCGAAGCTTTCCAGTCATTTGAAGCAAAACATGGCTCATGTGTCAAAGTTTCAAGTGCCCACAAAACCACCTAGTGGTGAAAAGAAGTTACCACAGAAATTTGTAAAAACAGACTGAAGCAGCACGACTAGCCCTATATGTTATAGGTTAAATGACAGCTTTTATTCAAAATATGAAACGATTTCCATGTCATTTGAAATATCATTACCTCTCTCTGTAATACGTGAATGAGTTAAAAATTTGACAGGTGCGTGACATGTCAACTGTGTAAGCTTTTGCCTTCAGGAACATGAACAGTCTAATGTGCCTCAAATACAACAAATTGTAGGCTATTGTTAATATCAACAAAAGGCTCACAGCCTGTTCTGGAAAGCCGTCTCTAATGTATGTTTCTGTGACTGTACAGACATGGAAGGTGGGAAAATGGCGATATCTTCAGAAACAATATTCGCTCTGCGCGTGTTGGGTGAATATACTTGTGTGACAGGGCAGGGAAGGGGGTGAATTAACCATTTTTAATTTTAAAAAATGGTATTTGCTGTACAGACTTTGGCCTCAAGTTATTTCTTTTTTTGTTTTATATATTATTTCTCCAGCATGATGCTGGACTACGTACATAAAGTATCTGATGTGGTAGGCTACAGGTGAGGGATGGGAAGCCTACACACTTTTGTGTGTAGTTGAGTAGAGAAAACAAAAAGCAAAAACAAATTGTACATACTGTCATACAGATAATTGTGATACCAAGGCTCTGCAGGAAAAGCATCTTGGTAAAAATGAAACCAAAATGTTCCCATACTGGGCATAACTTGTGTGCTGATGTTGTGGCAATATAATGCAAAAAATTGTACTGCAAAGATTTCCAATACTACAAATGCATGGACTTTGCGATCTCTGTCGTCTCCCCTCATCTCAAACATCACACCAACTTCAAAGCACTTCCTGAACTGGTAGCCCAGATGAAGCTTCAAATGTCATTAGTGACATCACATTTTCTAAATGATACAAACCTCAACACAAAGGTCCGCTTTGCACTGCCTCAAGTACTCAACACACACTTCGAAGCCTCGGTGTTCAGCCTACCATCACTAGTATCAGGTGAGCATTTTGACCACCCCTTTATAAGGTACATGTCAAACCCAGTGTTTCAAGATACTAGCTTTAGCAGATGTACTTTGCTATACCTCTTCTGATATCCACTTCTGAATAATCTTCATAGATGTGTACAATGAGACCCATTCCATGAACTATACTGCATGTTAGACAAAAAAAAGCCCATCTCAAAGGGGACCATCCACTGCATGTGCAGTGCTACTCTGAATACTGCAGTGACTCAGACAGTCAGGCTGGGCTGGTCGTCTTCCGCTGGTTACAGCTATTGATCTGTAAGATCAGAATGAAATTATTCTGCTGCCCACACCAGAGTAGGCACAGCCTGCTGGAATACTGATGACCTGCTGATGGCCTTCTCCTACAGCTTCCTTCACTGGACACACCAGCCAAGAATGAGAGGAAGAAAGCGGCTTGTTGGATCTGAGCTGGGAATATTGATCGACTATCTTGCTTTGAGATAGACAGATAGCCCGACCGGTCTTCCTTCTTCCCTCCTTTCTTCTTAGACATTCCTACTCAGTGTTTTAACACATTACCTGTTTTTCTCCCTTGCTCTTCCTCCTCCCTCCTCCATATCAACTAAGCAACTCTGAATAGACCTTTTTATTAAAACAAACACCATCCTTTGTTAAATCCATACTCTGTTCCTTCTGCCCCTGATGCTACCTTTCTCTGTCTTCAGCTATCATTAACCTTACTATCCAAAAACTCCAAGAGACCAAAAACAATAAAAATACAATCTATAATTGATGGAGCCTTGTGGATGAGGGCTGCACTGTCTTCAGTTCAGTTCAGGGCTTTCTCTTTATATGTTTTGTACAGAGAAACATGTACATACAAACTCTTGGGTAGATCTTTGATAAATGAAGAAAGCAGGACAAGCTTCACATGTGCTCAAATTAAAAAATGAAAGCAGGCTGCACTAGGAGGAGACAGCAATGTTACCCCTGCACCAAAAGCAATGCTGCTGTTGACTACTGATTGAATGTTGTGCTTTTGCTAATAAAGGATAGAGCCGGCCGTGAGCCAGACATGGTCTTTGCATTGCAATCAGCCAGATTAGCCAAGGCTCTCAGAGATAACACTGTGAGTACGAGTACAAGTGCCATAGAAATGTATGGCTTTAATGATTTAAATCTATAATAGCAGAGAAAAGCTTTGGAGCTGCCACTTTAGGGGGTAAAGACAGTCCCTGCCTCAAACCATGATGACTGAGCATTACAGAATATGGTCACATTGGTATGTGAGAGAAAACAAAGAGAGAGATTACACGCAAACATAACAAGGAAAGTCCATTTAGAGTTAAAGCTAAAATAGCTGATACACTGAAATAACTCAGTTGGGTGTCAGATGACGCCCAAGAGGACAAAGAAACTGAAATAACTCAGTTGGGTGTCAGATGTCGCCCAAAAGGACAAAGACCTTTGCTAAATAATAGAGTGGCAGAAGAGAAAAACTACAACAGACAGCAACAAAGAAGAAA